ACAAAGACTGTCCCCAGCTTCGGCCGCCTGGGTCCCAGTTGTGCAGTTTTTGCTGTGTCTGTGCTCCACCTGTACCACTCATTTAAAATTTTTCTTTAAATTTACTTTTTATTTTTCACTGACCTTTCTTTCTTACTTAACTTCTGTCATTTTGTATCTGCTTTCTATTTACTATCTTAATCCTTGCGATCATGGATTGAAATGATCCTCATGCTTTTCCCACATACTGAACTGGACATGACTAGTGTAAGGCAGAATGCTCATCCACCTGCCACCGTCTTGTACGCGGCCGCCCTCAGGAGCACTGGCCAGGCTGTTGCACTGACTCAGTGACAGCGCGCACCATAGTATGGTGTATCCTTAGGAGCGGACACGCAAGGCTCAGGACTCTTGTTTTTAAGTGACCTGTGTTTCAGCAGCATTCACGAACTAAAAAGCCTCATGAGGGGAAGAAAGTGTTCAAATGGAAAGGAACAGGGAGGAGGGAGGGAGAGAGGAAAAAAGGAAGGGACAAGGAAAAAGTGGAAATAGGGAAAAATAGAAACAGAGCTTCTGTACATAGGGAGGGGAGGGGACTTGAGGGAGGAAATGGGATAAAATAAAAGAAAATTGAGTAAAGGGCCTCATGAGGATCCTTTTCCAGGTAGAGGTCAGAGGGCACCCACGGCTGCCCTTGCACGCTGTGCGTATAAAGATGTCTGGTCAGATGGGCTTGATCAACTTGCAGGGTGCCGGGATAAGACTGCACCAGATATCTTTGCCCCAGTCTGTCTGCGGACTTCTGCCGTCTCCCAGTTATTGGCACTATTCACAGGGGGATGTGACCCTGAAAATGCAGAGGAATCAGAGCGTGACCTGTCCTTACTGCCACACGGTTGGCTCACTGCATCTGTTGTGTTCGACAGCCAGGGCAACAGTGAGCAGCAGAAACACAGATGCTCTTTCCCCTAAGGCTCAACAAACGGAACCGGAAAGCAGCCAGAAACCAAGCAAACCTCGCCCCAGACTCACTAGCAGCAAATAAACCAACAAACAAGAAGCAATTAAAGCTTCATGCGAGGCCCCTTGAAAAGTGACTGACAGGCAAAGAAATCCTGCGTGACCCATCAGAAAGAGTTCCGGGAAAAGAAGACAGGGAGACAGAATCCTATGACAGGTCAGTGTAGAAAGAGTGCAGTTGAGGAGGTGGGCAGGTAGCCTCAAATGCCAGGAAGGCCCTCAGCAGAGACAGGCGGCCGTCTCCTGGTCTCTAGGCTGAGCTATGGAAAGGGGCATGTAAGAGCAGCTACGGTATGGGTAGGTCTAAGTCCCTTACCTGGCCTCTAGAAGAGGAGGCAGCTTGGGAGCCCCACCAAGAGCAGGCCCAGAGGAGTCCTGCCTCTCCTGTCCTCCAGGTAGCAAGGTGCATAGAAAGCCGCAGCCAGCTTCAGCCTGTAGCTCGGGCGAAGAAGGACAGCAGGTCCCCCTCACAGTGTGGGCAGTGTCACAGGTCCATCAGCTTCCTGTCAGAGAGCAGACAGAAGTCTGGCCAGAGATGCTCGTGACTCAGGTGTGATGGTGTGTGATGGTGTGTGGTGGTGTGTGGTGGTGTGTGGTGGTGTGTGATGGTGTGTGGTGGTGTGTGGTGGTGTGTGGTGGTGTGTGGTGGTGTGTGATGGTGTGTGATGGTGTGTGATGGTGTGTGGTGACGGCCCAGAAATGCCGTGGTGGGGAGTGAAAGCGAGGATCACAGCTTTCACCAGTAGACGTACAGCCAGGCTGGCAGCCTCCCGAGGACGAAGAGCTCAGTAACCACGGGATTCTAGTTAATTCTTATTTATAATTGTGGTTAAAATATGCACAGTATAAAATTCAAGAGCTGAACCATTTTTAAATGTAGTTTTTCAGTGTTACATATATTCATGTTACTCTGCAGCCAGTATCCAGAACTCTTGCCAGCTGGCACAACTGAAACTCTATACCTGTTAAACACCAAGCCTTCATCCTCCTTCCTGTAGCCCCGGTAACCGCAGTTCTACTCCCTTTCTCATGAATGTGACCACTCTAGAGACCTCACGAGTGGAGTCACACAGTACTTGTCCTCGTGCAACTGGCTTATTTCATTTAACATGGTGTCCTTAAAGATGACCCATGTGGTGGCATGTTAGGATTTCCTCCCCTTTTAAGGCTGAATATTATTCTGCTGTGTGTGTTTACCATATTTTGTTTACTCATTCATCCATTAGTGGACACTTAGGTTGCTTCTACTTCTAGGATATTGTGAATAATGTGCCTATAAAAATAGGTATACAAATAGCTCCTCAAATCCCTACTCTTAATTCTATATGCAGAAGTGGGTTGCTGGATGCATACCGGTTCTTTTTGTCTTTTTTTGAGGAACTCGTTGTTTTCCACAGCTAGCAGGGTTTCATTTTACGCTCCCACCAACAGGGCCGTGAGTTCAGATTTTCTACATTCTCATCAACACTTGTTCCTCTCTGTGTTTAATGGTAGCCATTGCATGGGTGTGGAGTGGAATGGAATTTTTAAAAGGCAGCACCAAGAAAAGAAAGTGAGAATAAGAATGATACATGAGCACCCATGTTCATAGTGGCACAGTTTGTAATAAGCTAAAATTTAGAAACTGTCCAATTGCCCTTCAACTGGTAACTGAAGATTTTTTTTAATAAGCTGGAGTACTACTCAGCCCAAAGTGTGAAAAACCAGAGATATTTATAGCTAAGTAGATGTGCATTAATGCCATACTCTTAAGTGAAATAAATAGGACACGTGTAAATACCAAATAATTTCTCTGGTGTGAGAAACTGAAAGTGTAAATGAGAACCAAAATGTATAACAGAGAATGTGAAATAGGTAGAAGGGAAAGAAATAAATATGAGAGAAGAAAAAATGGAAACAAAGTCTTGTAAATAGGGAGGGGTGGAGAGATCGAAGGTAGGGCAGGGGAATGGGGAAAAAAATAAGAACCAAGACATATTTGTGTAAAGGTGCAAATTCCCCATGATGAATGTCATCATACTGTATACCTAAAATATACCAATAAACTTAATGAATTTTTAAAAAGTAAAAAATAAAATTAAATCAAAATCTATCACAAGCTACTATAAAAGAGAAATTCTTCATATTAATTTATGTAACTGAATATAATTCTCTTCAGTTTTTATTACACCACTATTAATATTGTTCACCAATTATGAACCAATGGTGGGCTATTAAATGATGTGCTTTTTCTCTTTATAGTTTTTTGTGCCCTTTGAATCTTTTAACATTACACATATTTTATAAAACCAAAGTCAGTTTAGTAACTATAACTGAGAATATATATTAATGATTTAAAAATTTATTCTAAGGCCTAGAAAAAAAGAATATAATACCAGTCCATAACCAGAAAACAAAACAAAACAAACAAACAAACAAAAAAAAAAACCCCAAAACTGAATAGATGTAGCTGAAAGTCCTATGACTGGCATGAGGGGAAAGCCGGAGACAATCACAAGAGGATTAAAATAACAAGTGAGGAATGAGAGGCACTGAGGAGCGGCAAACCCCTCAATACATGGGGCAGAAAAAGAATGCAAAGACGGGCGACGGGAAGAGTTTTCTGAAAGGAATTGAGAACTGGCTGTAGTCCAAGATCAGCCCACATCCCCAGAGAAATACATCTTGAAGGGCAAAGATCGCCTGCTCTAAAGCCTCGGTCCTGTGAGCCCAGGCCGAAAAGGCTACGAGCACAGGATGCCGGGCACCTGTGTTGGCATCCGAATTCGCCACACCAGCCTTCCCTACCGGAAAATATAAGGTCTGCACACTCATAAGGGGGATAGCATCATGTAAGTAATCATGAATTATAGTCAGAATTCAGAAGCACTGTATGTAAAAATATACAACTGCTTTCCTAAATGTGAAAGTATTACTCCCGTAGAGGCATTAGCAGTCTTGACCTGAGAGAACTCAGAGAATAGCATGGCTATGAGCATTTCTTGAAGGAGACCGCTCTGTGGAGAAATTGACCAGTTGACACAGATCAAAGCTCCAGACCCAGGAGAGAAAAGCTATAGTTTAAAACCACTAATAATAGCAAAACCACTGGTGAGCAGTCAGCTGTTACAGTGTGGTCTCCAACAAGCTGGGAGTGGGGAGCAGGATGTGGAAAATCATTCCAGAAACTTAAGTATTAGGCAGCTGACAAAAATGATATATGTAACAAAAAGCAAGAGGTGTAAAGAAAAGGGAAAAGAGAAATTACAGAGCATTTACAGTATGTGAAAATGGTTAGTCAACCCTTAGGTTTTCATAGTTTTTCTGTGTTAAATCAGGTGTATGTGTTGTTAAGTATTTAACTGCCAGTCAGAACAGTATTCCATTTACTTCTGCTTTTTCTACTGTTAAATGTAAGTAGCTTTAAATAGCTTTTATTAGAGAAGAGCTCTCATCTTATCATTTTAAATGAGATCATTTATATCTGCCTTTCCTTTGCACAGTAAATGGGCATAAGGAGATGTCCAAAATATTGTTCACCAACTGTGAAACCAATGGGGGCTATTAAACGATGTGCTTTTTTTTCTTTGTAGTTTTTTGTGCCCTTTGAATCTTTTAACATTACTCATTTTATAAAAACCAAAGTCAGCCTAGGTGCCACCAACCCACTGCACGCAGGGACTGCGGTATACACAAGCACTGAAGTACGACTCAGCCAGAAAGAGGAGTGAAATCCAGCCATTTTCCATAGACTGAGTGGAATTAGGGGACTTACGTTAACTACATAGGCCAGACCCGGAAAGACAAATAACACAAGTTTGCTGAGGTTGGGGATCCCTGTGTGGGGAAGGGGTGTGGAAAGGGGAGTTGAACTTGGTAAATGAGCTCTGTGCCATCACACGGAACCCCGCTGATACGTATGTGTTAGTCTGGGTCAATAAAAATATAAAAAAGTTTACAACCGCAGTGCTGACAAACACTAGAAAAAGTTCTGAACAGCATTTTGTCAACTCATTCTTAAGGTACCGGCACGAGATCAGGGGCAGGGGCAGAGACCACAGAAAACATCAAGTCTCCTAATAGGACGGCCTTGGCCTTCTTCTTGAACCCTAAATTGAAATGGCCGGTGAGTGTGAAGTGGCCAGACCACCTCCTGTGACGCTGCACCTAACCAATAACTAGCACCATCATCTTGGGGCTCTCGAGGCCCTCTCGGACTCTGCCTTTGACCCTGAACTCCAGCTATGACTTGGAGTTCCCCTGCCCCCTGGCCTTTGCACATGCAGTTTCCTCTGCTCGGAGCACATCACTCCCTTTCTTCCCCCTTCACCCCGCTGCTTCTCCTGTTGTTATCCAGGGCTTAGCCTGAAGCCTCCCACCCCAGCAAGCCTCCCCTGGCCCACAGTGGGCCAGGTCCCCTCTGTATAACTGATGGTACTGCTCCTGGTTGCACTGGGCATATCTGTAACCGCTCCTCAGGGTCACACGTTTAGCAGACTGGCCTCAGGCAGACCAGGACCTGGTCTAGGAGGTGCAGGTTCAGCCTCTCGTCCCCCTCCGCAGCATGCACTTCTGTCCTCTTGGCTCCAGCCTGTCAGCACCTGCGCCTTCCTTGTTTGTGTTCCCCACTGAAGCCCTTGGGAAAGGGGAGCTGTCGGTTTAGCCTTTCTCTCCGGCCACCCTGCTTGCAGGAAGAGCAGCACCCGAAGTGGGGCCTGAAGCTGGCGCTCAGAGATGGCGAGGAGAACCTGCCGCCCAGCAGTGAGCACAGGGAAGCCTCGGCATGCTTTACATAGGAGAGAGACAGGACGAATTAGGGTCAGTGGCTTTCTCCAGTAGGATTTCTAGTTATTTTTGTTTTCTTGTTTTCTGACTTTCTGCAGTAAACATTTTCATAGGTGCTAAGGGTGCTTCTTTTTTTAAATTGTATTAGTGCGTGTTTTCAGTGCATAGTGATTATTCTCGTGGGGAGTTGGTTCATGGACACAGCGCGTCCCAGTTCTTCATCACACCCTTCTCCCTGCCTCCGTCTCTCTGTCCCCGGCCCTTTTGCTAAAGGTCTGTGGCCCGGTTTCCTGTAAGTCAGACACGCAAGCTTAAATACAGCATGGCTATTCTTACATGAGAAACCCCAAATCTAAACAAAATTAAAGAGCAAAATAAAAGCTAGGTGACAGGAGATGGGAGATAAGGGACACTAAGCCCCGAAGCCTGGCTGTGCCAAGCAGCTCCGGGCTGGCCAGACCCAGCCCCATACCGAGGGCAGAAGTGTCGCCGTCCTCCCTGCCCCGTTCTCACCGGGTCGTGTGTGTCTGTCCGCTGGCTCTGTTCACCTGTGCCTCTTCTCCCCCTAGGTGACCAGGTGCCTGGGATCCCCTCGCACATCCTCAGCAGCTCCCCGTCAGACCAGCAGATCAACCAGCTGGCGCAGAGGCTGGGCGCCGAGTGGGAGCACTTGGTGCTGTCGCTGGGGCTGTCGCAGGCAGACGTCTACCGCTGCAAGGCCAACCACCCCCACAACGTGCAGTCGCAGGTGGTGGAGGCCTTCGTGCGCTGGCGGCAGCGCTATGGGAAGCAGGCCACTTTCCTGAGCCTGCACAGGGGCCTGCAGGCGGTGGAGGCAGACCCCGGGGTGCTGCAGCACATGCTGGAGTGACCAGCCGTCCCTGGGTGGATCCCTCACACCTCCGACTGGCCCCGGTGTGGGGAGGAGTGTGTGGAGGGGTCTTTTCTTTTCAGTGACCCCTAGACGGCAAGAGAAATCAGGGCTTCTACGTGACATTACACAGTTAAAGACTGGGTTAGCCAGGCGTGGTGGCGCACACCTGTAATCCCAGCACTCTGGGAGGCTGACGCAGGAGGATCCAAAGTTTCTGCCAGCTTGCACATTTTAATGACTTAACAAGACCCCTGTCTCAAAATTTAAAAAAATTTTTAAAGGACCAGGGATGTAACTCAGTTCAGGGGCCTCCAATTCACTACCCGGTCCTAAAAAGAAAAAGAAATGCCATATTACTCAGCAGATCTGCATTGTTTCAACAGCCTGTGATTTTTAATTGCTTGACGATTGCATTGTTGTAATTGTGCAGATTTAACTGTGTGGTTGCCTTTTAATAGACTAGGAAGTCATAGTCGTTCAAAAACAAGTATCATGTCATCGCATTGCATGCAGGTGTCCTGCACCTAATGTCCTGTACATTTTTATGTTACCTGGAAAATGAGCTGTGGACTTTGCGATTCATAATGATGATGATAATAAAAGAACTACTATATATAATGTGCCCCTTTCATGAGAAAGAGTTGTGGTTTTTTTTTTCCTCCATTTTAAATCGCATAGATTAAGGGTGTAAAATTACAGCAGTCATTTCTTTGGAACAGAATTGATAGTAACAGGGAAATGGTTACTTACCCCAGTTAAGGCAAACAGCTAGGGTTGGGTGTTTGTATTAAACATACGACACAAAAGCTCCTGGCAAAGGTCGGATCAAGTGCCAGCGTGCATACCCTAGACTGATCTGTAGAAAGCATCCTAGGGTGTTTATTGAAAGCATTAAATCAGGGCCCAAAAGGGGATGCACGCCTCTCCCCTGTAGCCATGGTGACTGCAGTGGGGCATTCCTGAGGAGTTAGCTGGCTTCGTCTGTGCTTTCTTCAGTAGCACTTGTTGTCCCTAAAGTGCTTTCTTGTTTCCTGGCCTTTCGTGTGTGTGGTCTCACTCAGACTGCTCAGCATTTCCGGGAGGTGGGCAGGCGACTGAGCGGTCTGCGTTGTATGAGCAAAAACTGCGCCTTTGCATGCTGGCTCCGCACGCCCTGCCCAGCTGCTCCTTGTGGCTTCTCCTCCCTCGTCTGCGGCTTATTCAAGGAGCTTTGGCCTGTTACTTGCCATCTCTGTGCCTCAGTTTCCTCGCTGGTAGACTGGGGAAATGACCATATCCACCTCTAAGATCTTCCTGATGATTAAAACATCTTCCAAGTGACGTCTTCTCAGAGCATGGTCAGCTCTCAGCAGTGGTAGCTGTCTGTTTGCCGACAGCCAAACATGTAGCCCATAGACCAAGTGAATAGTTCCTGACGATCAGGACTCTGTAGGGCAGTGCTGGCGAACCTCTGGTGACACACGCTGCAGCAGGCACACAGAGCCCTCTCTATCGGTATGCAGGTCAAGTCACCCAGCCTCACCCCAGGAGTTGAGCATTCAGGTCTAACTGCAGTGTTGGGACTTGGCCATAAATAAGAGGGTTTGGGGTTGCAATCTGGGTACTCAGTCTAAAGGGTTGCCATCGCTGCTCTAGGGGATTGGTGCATTTACTGCCACGCCTTAACAAGTTCTGTGACTACAGCGGACCCTTGACTTGTGAACTCAATTCGTTTGCAAGGACTGATGTAAGTCAGGTTGGTCAGTGAAGGCTCAGGCTCCTCCACACAGCCTTCAAAGCCTCCTCTGTACACAGGCAGGGCTCACTGTCCTTAGAGAGACACTGGCCCAGGATTCCTCAACCCCACACAGGAAGGATGTTGTCGTGTTCCTTCCAGAACTCCTTAAGGGTTAAATCTATATCTGAGACCGTCTGGAAGCCCAAACTGCTGGCATTTGGGTTGTAATGCAAGACTTTGGTCGTAAGTTAAAACTAAAATTCCAGTCATAACCCAAGTTGTTCGTATGTCAGGCGGGTCATAACTCGCGGTTCCACTCTCTAATAACTTTACAATATGTTTAAACAGGAGAGGGGAAGTCGAGCATTTTCAGTTCTCAACCTTTCCTTAATAATGGTGTAAGCTGTTTCTTTACCTTGATGTAACTGAAGCTTGTTCACAGAGGAGCGCATTCCTCCCTCCGGTCTCAGGACGAGTATGGAGAGTGGTAGACGTGAACACGAAGCAGATGCTCCAAAAGATGACAGCGGCGTGCTGACGTCCTTTTGGGCTCCTGGGGACCATACCCTTTTGTTCTGCTTTTCGGTCATTCAGTGAAGGCAGTTCAAAAGGATTCGCTGCTGGTCTTATCAGCCCTCATTTCCCACCTGATCGCCCGGTCTAACTTCTTGTATTGCTCTTACTTTTGACCATAGTGGCCTGTACTTCTGTGGCGTCTTCAGTACACTGCTTGTCATTGTGATGCTTGCTCTTTTGCTGTTTGCCCCCCAGGGTTCCCGATAGAGTTGCTTTGGCTTCTGTTGTCACTGCTAAGTCACTTTTATGGAGGAGTGAGTACAGCCGGGCTTAGAAGTGAGTTGAAGTGAGCCATCGCACACGGACACTTCTGTGCCCTGTCAGTAGGGAGGGACAGTTAGTGAAGAATGAGGCTGTGAAGGACTGATGGGGTCCAGGGCTTTGGAGCCCAGACCCGTTGCTGCCCTTAATGAACAGGGCGTCTCCACCACCAGGCGGCAGTGGCAGCTCCTTGGCTGCTCACATTCCCCCAGAAGCGCTGCAGTCAGGAGTCGCTCCCCATCCTCCGTCTGGCTGCATGGGGGGCACCACAGCCTCTGCCTGCTCCCCAGAGAATCAGGGAGCTGCCCACACAGCGGTCCTGTGGTCTCACACAGGGCAAGATTCCACAATTCCAGAGACCACCAACCTCCAAGGAAATTCTGAATGGGTGCTTGGGCAGTGGACTCAAGCAACAACAAAATTCTAGTCCTGCTCTGCTTTGGGTTGGGTGTATGTGGCCGGGAGGGAGAGTGTACACATGTGAGCACCTGAGTGAGTGTGCCCTCTAATGATTGCAGAGCCATGGCTTGTGTTAAATTGTGTCAACAGAACCATCTAAGTCACTTTCTCATGCTGAGGCAGATATCTGACACCTTCAGTTAAAGAGAGGGGAGGTTGGTGGTGGCTCATGTGATCTCCAAGTGCCTAGAAGGAGGGATGGCGAGGGCTAGAGAAAGAGGACATCAGAGTTGCATAATTTCAAAGTCTATGGGGTCCAGGAGGTCAGGACCTCTGAGTGGGCAAAGACACCCTGAGCTCCTGCTGGGCGTGGTGGCGCACGCCTGTAATCCCAGCACTTGGGAGGCCGAGGCAGGAGGATTGCTGTGAATTTGAGACCAGCCTGGGCTACATAGTTCCAAGTCGGTCTCAACTACATAGTGAGACCCTGTTTCAAAAAACAAACAAAAAAAGACACCCCAAAGTAGCCACTATCTATTGGGCTCATAGGGGGTAGCAGATGACTCAGAGAGTGGTGATAATCCCAAATTGATGAGGACTTTATAATTGGAGGGAGTATCAGAGGGCTCGGAGGGCTGCGGTAATCCCATGATGATGAGGATTTTATGCTGATGAAGATCTTAGGTAGGGGGAGGAGCTTACATTGAGATAAGCAAAACTGTCCTTAGAACAGTAGGTGGGATGCGTTAAACTGTAGGGAATTTGTCCCTCCCCGTGAGACCTTCCTCTTTTTGTATTAATACTCTGTTCTCCAAGAACCAGGATGTCTTCAGTTGATGTAATCTTGCCTTTGAGAGCCGCAGTATCGCAGGGATGTTGAGGCCTCGGCATTGACTGGAGGCAAAGTGGAGTTACGATTCTGAATCCATAGCCAAGCCTGCAGGCCAGAAGACGAGGCCTCAGAGAGCCCTACTCATAATTTAATTGGGAAGTGATTTTTCCCCAAAGTCATGTAGAATGGCTCCCAACATGTTAGTCCATAGTCAGCTGGCTCCAAGGCAGACGGTATGGTTGGACAGGAAGGAGTGCGTGAAGGGAGCAGCTTGAGAGGGAGATAAACCCTTCCAGGCCAGACCCCAGTGACAGCCTCTGCTGACCAGACCCCATCTCCCAACAGCCAGGAGCGCTAAGTCTCCAAAACCAGTCACTTTCCAAACGTGCTTGAGGTTCCTGGGAGCCATCTAGATGTAAACCATAGCAATAACTAGAGTACCTGTTTATTGCATCTGTTTAAAAAAACAAATAATAAATGATAGGGAGACAAATAAGAATATCTCTATTCCCATCTTCCAGAGGTAGCTACCATTAGAACCCACTTTGCTCTCATCCTCCGGTTAGTTTCCCATACCTGTATTTTTCCTTTCTTCTCTCCCTCTCCCTCCCCCTCTCCCTCCCCTCCTCCTCCTCCTTCCTGTCTCTGACTCTATCTCTGTCTCTCCTGGAGATTGAACCAAGACCATGTGCGTGCCAGGCTGTACCACTGTAAGACCTAGGGCCTTACTTCCACTCCGAGGAGCTAGAACAGCCGAAAGGGCCTCCAAGATGCTGGGCCCTGTAGCCCAGCGATTGCTGCAGGAGCTTGACGAGCAGCGAGAATCACCCAGGAAGGAACACATCGGACTCGTTGGAAAACAGACCTTTATTCGTCTGGCCAGATGGCACTTCCAGAGCCAAGTAGCTCTGGGAGGCATCAGCTCAGGGGCATAGGCTGTTTTTATAAGGGGATAGGCAGGGTGGGGGGGTCTATAACAGATGCTTACAGAATGTCCCAAGGTTTTCAAAACATTCCTTGGCAGACAAGCAGTGAAACAATCTTATCTATTCACCCAGAACTACTAAATCACCTGTTAATTTACATTAATCACAGTTGAGACTAGGAACTTACTTAAGATTACAAAGTTATGCAGTCCCATACCACTGAGCTGAGCTCTATCCCCAGTCCCTTTTTTTTTTGGTACTGGGAATTGAACTCTGGTCCTTGCACTTGGGAGTAGGCAACAGAACCACTGAGCCAAATCCCTGGCCCCACAGTCCATTTTTAAATTTTATTTTGAGACAGGATCTCCCTAAATTTCCTTATCCCCCTGCTGCGGTCTTTGTAGTGGCAGGATTCAGGGGTATACCACCACACCTGGCTGCATATAGAATAAGACTATCTTACATGTTGTTTTCTAGTTGGCCTCCTTTATCACACATCGATATTCCAATGCCATTAGAGATTTTGCTCTGTCAATGATTTCCAACATGCTTTGTGTTTGGAGCACACTTGCAAGACCTCTCAGTTTTGGCAGCACCTTTGAAGAGATTAGAAAACACTCAGCTACTAAGTTTAACAATGGCTTTCTCCATCAAAACATCCCCCACTTTTTGCATGATCCCCCTTAGAACCGTATCACTCTCTGAGCAGAGCTGCCCACTGCCCCGTTACACCTTCAAAAAGCAAAGCTTAACACAGGTTGGGCTCTGTTCTGAGCTTCTTCCTTTTCCTTACAGCAAGATAATTTTCTACATTTCTAAATTCTGCATTGTAATCCAGGCAACCTCCCGTTTTTACAAGATAATGTGTTTGGAGTGAGGGACCATAGAATTTTTACCTGTTCATCAAAA